AAAAAAAAAAAAAAAAAAAAAAAAAAAAAAAAAAAAGAAATAAAGGTACCATGCTTTTAAAAAAAAAAAGAAATAAAGGTACCATGCTTTTTTTTTTAAAAAAGATGACCCGGTAAGGGGATCTTAACCCTTGACTTGGTGTTGTCGGCACCACGCTCTCCCAAGTGAGCCACGGGCCAGCCCTTAAAGGTACCATTCTAAATGAAGAAGACAACATTTCCAACCCGAAAAGAGGGAGATTAAATGGACCTTAGGAAGAGATATGGCAAAAATGGAAACCATTTGCAGTTTGGAAGATGGCTGTTAAAGAGATAGATGTTAGAATGAAACCCAAAACTTCTTGCAATTTATTAAGAGTGGATTAATGCCTCAACAAAACCTTGTTGTTCTAACATAGAGGACCACATTCTCAGTTCAGTATTTTTAATACCAAGCTCAAGCTTTAGAAAGACATAAATAATTTCCTTCTAATTATAGCCAACTTAATCACACACAAATTCTCCTTCATAAATTCAACCTTCATGCACCGTTATTATTTGGAAATGACTCAGACATTTAAAGAATATCTATCGTTTTAATATAACATAACATAACTTACACAAAACCTTTATTCACAAATGTGTATCCCACCTACATTTACCTAATTTATTTATTCTTAACAATTATACCAAGATTACTTATGAAAACTGAGATATTAGAGAAGGCTGGTCGTCATTTCAAGTTATTTTCCTGGTAACTATTTTTTTTTTTTTTCTTCTTGTCTTTTTTCGGCAACGGATCGCAGCCCTCAGTGTCGCACCTGTACCGGACCGGGACCGGCAACGGGATCGCAACCCTTGGTGTTGCTTCCGCACCTCGCTCAGCCAGTGAGCGGCCAGTCTGTATGTGGGATCCGAACCCTTGGCGGGAGCGCTGCCGCGCTCCCAAGCGGCGCACTGTAGCAGTGCGCCACCGGGCCGGCCCCAGTGGTAACCATTTTTATAGCCTGTGAATATCAGGTGTTCACCTAAGTAAGAATCTTAAGGTTAAACATATGGTTATTTTTGCCAATAACTCAGAAGATACAGCTGTTTTTATTAAACCAACAATATTAAATTAGTTCTACTTATCAAAGAATTGCATAATCAAAGATCATTTTTCTTCTGGGCTAGATATATAGTTTTAAACTTTCTTTCAAATCCCAGCACTTTACAGTGTCTAACAGAGGTGGATATAATCCTCTCTACCAATTAATTCAGGCAAAACGTATGCTGACAATTTTGAAGACATTTCTATTTTTATTTTATTAACAAATTTAAAACCAGCTTCTTTATTAAAGATTTAATTAAGTCACATAAACTAAAAACATTTGGGTTAATTACTGTATATTCATATGAGCTCACTTATCTTAGCCAGTCAAAGCAGGATTTTTTTTTTCCTTTTTTTTTTTTTTTTGGCTTTTTTACTGACCGGTAATGGGATCGCAACCCTCGGTGTCGTGCCTGTACCGGGGACCAGCAACGGGATCACAACCCTCGATGTCACGCCCGCACCACGCTCAGCCAGTGAGCGGGAACCGGTCTCCACATGGGATCCGAACCCTCGGCGGGAGCGCCACCGCACTCCCAAGTGGCGCACTCTCCAGTGCGCCACCGGGCCAGCCCAAAGCAGGATTTTTTTTTTTCCTTTTTGTCTCTTTTTTTTTTTTGTGACCGGCAACGGATCGCAACCCTCAGTGTTGCGCCCGTACCGGACCGGGACCGGCAACGGGATCGCAACCCTCGGTGTTGCCCCCGCACCTCGCTCAGCCAGTGAGCGGCCAGTCTGTATGTGGGATCCGAATCCTCGGCGGGAGCGCCGCTGTGCTTCCCAAGCGGCGCACTGTAGCAGTGTGCCACCGGGCCGGCCCACCAAAGCAGGATTTTTAAAAGGATTTTTGACCAACTACACCAGAGTTTATAAGGTAGATACAACATACAACATAATACAGGAGTAAACACAACTGCACATATATACACACACAAATATACTTTCATTTTAGAATTTTAGTCATGAGATAATAATGTAAATTCACCAGTTTATAAAAGATAGTTGGATCTAAATTATGTTTCTGACAAAATGGCTAAGCTTTATTTGCCCCCATAGGTAACCTACTGAAGTCTGTTGCATCCGATTTTGGGTGAAGCAGTTTTTATACCAATTTGACTTTTAAGGAAAAACTTCGTACTTTTTGTTTTCTTTCATATTTAGTTTTAAATGAGTTTTGGATTAAATTTTCAAATGTTCACATTTTAACTAGGAGTGGCTGAATTGTATAAGAAAAAAAAATCTTCAAATGTCCTTGAACTTTTATTAAGAAGTCTATCTTCTGTTTGCCAGTCTGATTTGTTTGAGGGCAGGGAAGCATTTTTTAAAAATTAATATTATTGGGCCGGCCCGGTGGCGCACTGCTACAGTGCACTGCTTGGGAGCGCAGCGGCACTCCCGCCGAGGGTTCGGATCCCACATACAGACTGGCCGCTCACTGGCTGAGCGAGGTGCGGGGGCAACACTGAGGGTTGCGATCCCGTTGCCGGTCCCGGTCCGGTACGGTCGCGACACTGAGGGTTGCGATCCGTTGCCAGTCACGAAAAAAGACAAAAAGGAAAAAAAAAATTAATATTATTATTTTTTCGTTTGGCTCTCTCCGGCCCATGCATGACAGACAAAGCAATTTTTATGCTGAACAGAGAGATACCCCATATTGTAGCTCTGAGCTCAAGATTCTGTCCTGTTCGATCTGAAGGCTTAATTAATAAACATTGATGTAGTTATTGTTTAGATGATCAGTCCTTCAGTTAATCCTTCAGTTCCATCTCCCTAAGCAACTGCTAGCCAAGCAAAATTTAATTTACATTTCCAAAAGGTGTCTAGGTTTCTAGGTGGTGAATTACCATGGAGCTGTTTTAATTTGTAAAGCCATTAATTTAAAAGCCCTTTAAGACTCTTTTTTAACTTTTTTATTTTGGCTGGAATGCCATAAGCAATGAGTTTCACCTCAACACCTGCAGAAGAGTCAACGAAGTGGGCAGAGAGAAAAAAATATAGATTGGTAGACAATTTAGAAGGCTGTACATGTTAACTCTATATTTGTAGTCTCTTAATTTGGTACTAACAACAACAACAAAAAACTTGTGGAGTCAGAATGATCCCTATGACGGCCATCTATTTAAAAACATGCACAAGGAAAAGCCATGTAGTTGGCTGGAGTCTCAGAAGCCTGACATCCTTAATGTTTGGGATTCCCATTCCCTTTCCTGTTATCTCCTGTGAGCAAAGATCTTATAAATCCTGTCAGAGGATCTCAGGAGTTTGGACCGGCATTTAGGTGGTAGTCAGTGCTCTAGTGACTTTTAATTAGCCATCCTGTGCCCACTATTTAGAATATTTAATTTTTGCTCTCAAAAGGTTTATAGAAACAGCTCAAGCCTCCTTCCAGGGGTCAGGAAGTCACTCAGTCTCCACAGACAGCTTCTGGTCCCCTGCCAGACCCTTGTCTCTGTTTGGTGACACCACCTTCATCGTTTTGGACTTTCGGAAAGTTCCTTTAAGTGCAGCCTGCTGTAGGCCTCAGACCCTGTTGAGATTGGGCAGCTGGGCTGTTACCAGCTCCCTGGAGATGGCCCTTTGCTCCCCTCCACCTCCTACACGATGGTAGCTTCGAGAACAACCCTTCCTCCCCCATCACCCCCCTCCCCGTCCCCTGGGGCAGCGGGCCTGGACACTTCACACCTCACACCGCTCTGAGTTCCTGCTCTGAGTTACCATCAGCTCAGAAGCTGGCCCTGCTAGGCGCGACCTTCCCCTCCCCCAGTGCCATCCCCTCCCATTTCAGACACTCAGACGCCAGTCGAGTTGGAGGGGGAAATCTGCTTTATTTTGTTTTCATTATTTCCGGAGGTGGCTCTGGGGGAGCTAGGGGTGCGTTCCGAGGGTGCCCGGAGTTATCGGGGCTCAGAGCTGGGAGAAGGAGACCTCGGATTCACAAGCGAGGTCGTCGCGGCAGGTGTCTGGAAGGACAGCTGCGGTTCAGGAGCCTCCAGGCACCGCCTCCACCCGCC